GGACGCTAGTCCATCACAGGGTTAACCCCATCATTCAGTTCGCCAGTACCCATTTATACACCCGGGTGGAAAGAAGCACAGTGAGAGTGAAGTGTCTTGTCCAAGAACAGAACAAAAATTATGTCCCTGGCCAGGCCTCGAACCCGGACCACTTGATCTGGAGACAAGTGTTCTAACCATGAGGCCAACGCACCTCCCACCTCCCACTGATGTTGTATTAATGTTTGTTAGTGTATGTCTTTTTAAGAAAATAGTGAAATCCAAGATGGCAGATCCAAGATGGCAGGTCAAATGAGGTTGTTTGTTTTCATATGACACCATAACCAAAAAAAAGGTGTCATCTTATAGAGCAAGCTCAGAGCTATTTGCTCAATGGACGTTTATTTCACTGTGCTTTAACAGAACAAAAACCCAAGGGGAGGGGCTCCATCCATCTGTCCAGCCACTTGTTATACGGTGGGGGTATGAGTTTGCTTGTACATCCGAGGGTTGAAATTATACTAACTATATGTTAATGATCGATCTTAGCAGGCATCAGGGAGTTAACACAAAGAGGATCTGGATGAGGATTAACAATATAACTAATGACAGACATTTTGTTCTTTTTTTAAAACAGGTTGTGCAGCTGTACTTTAAAAACAGCACAGTTCCATATGTAGAGGAAGGTTCGCCTGACTCGGGGTACTGGAAGAGTGTCAGTCATGTGTTAAAAGACATCACAAATGTTGTAGCAGTTGAGAGTGCTGTGGTGCATCCATTGTTGGGATATGCAGGGACACTGGATCTTATTGCAGAATATAAGGGAAAACTAAGTGTGATTGATTGGAAGACTTCTGCAAAACACAAAACCAATCTCAAGGACTGCTACTCATATCCTCAACAAATTGTCGCTTATGCGGGTGCTGTGAATTTTGATGAGAACTACCCTTTTCAGGTTTGGTGCATCTCAAATAATTATTGACTCTGTATGATTGTAATGTTGCAACTCAATGTTACCCACGAATCATTTACATCTAAATCAGAGTAATCAGGTAGTAAAGTGTTGCTTGCCTCTGAACAATAGTCCATTTCCGCGTTACCTTGTGCCTCTGTTTTAAAACAAGTCTTTGAGCAAAACCTTTCTTATGAAAATGAGTTTGATTTGCATGAAAATGAACCTGTAGGTGGAACTCAGTTTCAGATAAATGGTTTTGCAGGAAGACTTGTTTTGACACAGATGCAAAAAGGCAACTCCGAAATGGCCTACGTTTGAGTTAAGTTCCAGTTAGGAGTCATTAGGTTTGTTGTTGGTTCTTGTCCTTGGCCGTTGGAAGTTTTTCTTCCAGTTTTCTAGTTGTCCTCTCTTCTCAAAACCAAAGACTTATAATATAATAATTCTAATCTAACTGCATTCAGGCCACAGTTTCATGAATGTGATTCATATTCTGATTTTATGTGCATTTAGTGAAATTTTATTAGCTTCTCGGGTAATAGTGATAAACAATTTAATTTTGTTTTGGGGAGACATGCCATCAGGATAATTTTTCTCTCCAAATTGTTATTTGCCCACAATTTTCTAAACAACGGGAGCAAAATTTATTTGTTCCAAAACTAGATGAGAGCTAGACCAGTTAGGCATGTATGCATAAAATGAAACAAATTAAACAATAGTCCTTGTAAGTAGATGAAAAATAAATAAAGATATAAATTAAGTTTGCTGTAGCTCAGTGGTCAGAGTGTGTGATCGCTGTGCATGATAAACTGAATAGTTACTAGTAAGTCCTAAGGTTATTAATTGCTATTTGCAGGTCTGTGATGGAGTGATAGTTATCGCATATGAAAATGGTGATCCGGCAGATATCCATCATA